TTAAATTTTAAATTTAGGTTAGGTAACGAACTTTAGGTTAGTTACGTTACTACTAACTATAGGGTGGTTGGGTAAGGTAGTATTATATATATATATATATATATATATATATATATATATATATATGATAATTATTTTCAAAAACCAAAAAGGTTTTTGATACGCGACAGTCTACATTCAATTTTAGGAAGTTATTTTTTTTCAGTTTCACAAAATGCAGTTGAATTTTCATTTTCTTTTTTTGTTCTTTTGAAGTTAATGGCCGGGTTAAAGAGGATACATCCCAATTGGAATCCAAAAAACATTTTATATTTAGTGTTAGCCAAAGGACCCAATGAACAATTTACTCCCAAGGGAAGGGGATATCATTTGAGATAAATAAGTAGCTCCTAGTTTATTTTCTATCAATAAACATCAAAAAAAGAAGCAATCGGATATTAAAATCTCTCCGATTTAATGACAGTGAAGAGGCAGCGCGGAAAGCCATCATATATACATACAAGAACACCATCAATGGTTTCAGCGCCATGCTCACTGACTCACAAGTTGCCGCTCTTTCTAGTAAGTCAACTTAAACGACGAAGTATTTTCTGTTTTTTTTGTTTTTTGTTTTTTTGTAGTACAGGATTCGGTTGCTTACCTATAGTAAGAATGAAACTCAAAATGTTATTTTGAGTTGCCACAATAGCCTAACCATCTAGCCTTGAGCCATTGTTAATGACGAAGTGCTATATTTTGCAATCTCAAAATCCAGATTCTTTTACCATATTGAGACTACATTGGGTCTTTATTACAAAATATTCAGTAACCTGAAAATTTGTGAGAAAGAACAAAGTGACTATTTGTTCATGTATGAATGAATAAGTACATGTAGGTTACCTTTCTATATAGCGCCACCAATGTATAAAACATATGAGGCTCCTATTCTTACCTAAATAAACAGTTGAGATAACTTCAGTTATAATGTCAAGAGGTTTAGAGCATCTTCCCTTCTCATAATCATAATAATAATAATAAAATATTTTCTGTAATAAAAATGATCAATGTGCTCTTGTAACCCAAATTTCATCTCATAATGTTGTGTAAAATAAATAAATAAAAAAAATAATGTGAACCATCATATCAAAGAATAAAAAAGATGATCAAAAGATTGAGGCTAAATTGTGACATTATGACTGAAGCTATCCTAGCCATCATTTCAAGTCGGATGGCCGAGACGTATTTTATGTAAAGGTGCAGTATGTATAGAGCTGACGCTCAAAACAATCCAAATAGAGCCTACCTTCAATAGTGTCGAGAAATGTGGTTTTAATACCGGAAATCTTTGTGATAGCTTTAAAATATATTTTCATTTTTAAATATAAAATTTAAAGCTTCAAAAATGGCGTAGATCAAGGCGAACTATGAAAACTTGAAAACCTTGAAAATTGACGGCCCAAAAATGCATTTACAAGATGCACTATTTTAAAATTTTGAAATCTATTTTTTTCTTATGTCCATGCATCTTGATGTCGAGATGATAAATTTGATAATATTCGGACATCAAAACAACCTCTTCAAGTGAAATATTTGAGGTGAACTCTAATTTGATTGTTTAGAGCATCGGCTCTATATAAACGTTTTCCTTTATGTAATCACAATTGAAGGAATAGAAAGGTTTCCATCTTATCGACACTCTGATTTCAATCATGTTGGTTTTTACCTTATCTTCACATCTCTATTTTTGCCATCCCCATCCTTCTATAGCGTTCCGTGGCACTTTCTGCCCAAGTTGCAAAGATCCAAATAAACTTACAACAAATCAGCTAAAATGACATAAAATTTCCGATGCTAGCTCAGATATCATCGTCTGAATAAGACCATTTATTTTTTAGTACAAAGAGATCACAATTATTTATAACCATCGGATGTGAAATCTAATATCTTGGATGTACCATAAAGTTCGCAAAAATTATTTTGAACTTTGAGCTTGGTTGATGCAATAAATGCAGCTACCTAATTTCACATCCAATGGTCAAGATTAATTATGATCACCTTGTATTAAAGATAAATGGTCTCATTGTATACTTTTTTCATTACAGAGTCTCATAACAAGTTCCATAATCAAATATATTAGGGCATAATATAGATTAGGCTTTTATGACCAGCTTTAAGAAAAGAAAACTAACCTTGCAGAGCAGCCTGGAGTGCTTAAGGTTCTCCCAGCTCCATTGTATCCACTTCCACAAGGGCAAGACCCATCATTATCAAGTCCATGAAGGCCACAATAACACTGCAAAGCACCCCAACTTCAACCATGAGCATGTTATGTAATATAGTATGTATATTATGTAATGATGTATGTCTTCCTACAAAATGGCTTATCACTTAAATCTCAGTAGGTTTCTGGCACAAATCGCTTTGATACACAAACCTGAAAGAGGGCAAACAAAAGAGGCCTTTAGAAAACAGGCTCTCTTTAGAAATCAAAAGAAAAAGGGCCTTCAGAAATCATAATAGATAAATATGAGTATTTATCTCAAAAGAACTAAATTTGAGGAGAAAACGGCACTGATTAATCAGATAAATCTCAAGTGTTTTGCGAGAGACAGTGCAGTTGCTTTTTCTTTCTTTTAGTGAGTACTGGTTTGCTAGAAAAGAAAATAAAAAATACTTGATTCTACTATTTCATGGCATTTAAGGGCCATCATAATGGGGAAATTTACATACAAACTGGAAATATTTCTAGCATTACGATATGGTCCACATTTTCACAAAATTTATGTGGAAGTCCTACTTTCAAGCTCTTCTTTCTTCCAATATTGCCCGCATCCAATGATAGCAACATCAGGACCGCTTTTTTTTTTTTAAGTGGAGGGTTGTCCGTAAGGTTGGATCATTTTAGTGCCGGTCTAATGTTTTAAATATTGAAATACCCTAAAGTTGGCATTCCCTCACTTTGTGTCGTTACGTTTGAAACATCAGGCTGACCTTTTTTTTTGTGCTTTCGTTTAAAACCTTGTTCAACATTTCCAACATCTTGCCAGATGTTTCAAAGACCGGTTTTTTGGTCACAAGAAAAAGTCAGATGTCAGCAATATCAAACAGTGTAAGAAGAAAAAAAAATACATTTAACTATTATCCAATGTCACAAATATCCACTCAGAACTAAAGAAAGATTTCAAAGTGAGGAGTTGTTCGATATTTGACATACTTGACTAAGACCAATGTGCCCTTAATACAAGTTTAGGGCAGTTGGGCAGTTAGGTATTTGACATTTTGGATGGACTTAAGATATAACAAAACTACAAAAAGCAAAAAATAAAAAACAAAAATAATCAACCCGTCCGATACTAGAAACATCAAACCAAGAGGCCAAATTTGCATAAAAAAGAAAATCTCAAGACAAGGGCACCTTCACGTAAATTTTGTGAAATACCGCATCGTAATACCAGAAATATATTTTCTGGTTTGTACGTAAATTTCCCAATAATTGTGAACAGTAAGTTCATCAAAGCAAAGTAATTGAGGTCAGGTAAATGGGAAGATGCATAGATCCATTTCAAAATATAAGCTGAACACCTCAAATCTGAATGGATCTTTTGATATGGAAGCCACAGCCTGCGAGTGGTGCACAGAAATGGAATCCACAATTTCTTGAGCATTTTATTAACCACTTCAAAGAAAGTTGGCCACGAGATCTTAAGTCCAGAAGCTTAATTATTGCCTAATTATCATATGTGAAAACTTGGGCGCCGTACACAGGTATTGGGAATTAGCACACATCAAATAAATTAAGAGAAAATGACATTACAAAATTGAATAATCCTTGCCACTTGATAAGGACAGTATAAATGGAACCATTGCATCAATGGGCTTCCAAAACATCAGGGTTCTGATCGATGGAATCCAAGTCCTCGTGTTCAACTGGAATGCCATTTTCTTCATCGTCTTTGTATGCAGAATTGTTTGTAATCCATGTGCAAGAGAAATTCCACACAGACACACAATTTTCCTCAACTGTTCAAAAAAGAAAATAAAAGAGATTAATTATAAACGATGGAATTATGGGAATAAATCAATTTTACAAATACCCAACTAAAAAAGAAAAATGAACTTTAGCCCTCACTATGGATTAGATGAAGCAACAAAGGACATCATCCCATTTGTACTAAAAAGCCGAGTGTTACATTTATAGAATAAAATCATCCAAGATTATTGGCCCATGGTACTGCGATCACATGCACAGATTTCCAAGAAATAAATGCTCATATCCTATGAATGCTTAATAGTATCTATGCACATGCATTGGTAAGCATATTTTCAAATAAAATAAGAAGGCATCACGTTACCACTCAAACATAGATCCTCTTCACTGTCTGGCACCCCAAATCTCCTATGCCCCGATGAAGAAGCCGCCATTGGATAATATGGATGAAAACAGAACCCATTTAGAGTATCTGAAAGAAGCCCAAAGAGACCAATGAAATAAACTTAAAGAATTTAAGAGAAAAATGACTTGGTAAGCTATGTATTGCATATACAATAAGCTCATCAATAGCTTTGCCACTACAAATAGCAAAGAGAAAGAATGTACCAGATGCAGCTTGAAAGCTTGCAGTCCAGTTTCCTGTTTGAAGGTCATATATGTGTACTTGTCCATCCTGAAAGGAAATATGACAAAGAATGTCACTTAGTCTCATTGACGCATGATAAAAGTCTACGATACCAAACCTAGAAAGTAACCGACCTGGCCACCAGTGCCAAGATGCCTCCCACCAGGCTCAATGTCAAAAGATATTCGCTGATTTGTATTTTCTGATGACCTGTATAACCTACAAAATCCTCGAAATATTTAGCATACCTCAATATGTTGCTCCTGAAAGAGCATTTTCTTTGAAATTCTCATTATTCACAAACTAAAAACTGCAATATAAAGTATTAAAAGCAGAAGCTGGAAGTATGGAGGGAGAGTATTTTGCCAAACAGAGCAAACATATTTCAAAAGTCAAGCTCCTAAAGATATTTTTTCTGTATTTCCCCTTGTTCGTTAACTATAGACAACAATTGACAAAAAGGAAAACAGAAATCATTGGTAAAGATGGGTGCAGCACTTCCATAAATAGCATGTGTCAAACTGAGAAATGACTGCAGTTTCTGCATTTTTTGAGTTTTTCTTCTGTTTATCTTGGATACGGGTCTGCAGTTCCCACTGGAATTCTGGGCATGTTTCTATTGGTCCACGTAAGACAGGCTCATACCAGGATATTTGGAACTTCATTTCATTCATTATCACTATAAAAAAAAACATTTTTACTATCAAAGAAAAAGACCATCGTCAGATAAAAATTTGAGATGATGAACGACTAGCCCTTTCTCCTAATGGGAAACTAATTGCATTAGAGATCTACAATAATAGACAATTTGCAATGTAAGGTGGGAACTAGCATATCATGCATGGCCAGTTGCATGGTAGGATATTCATAAGAAGTGATCTCTTTTAACCACTACTATTTAACCTATTAAATACTTATTTTTCTCATTTCACCATTTGGATAACTTTACCATGTAAAATAGTTTTCTACAAAAGTTCAAATATGGATGCACACAATGTGATGTCCTATACATATTTTTACGTGATCTCTGTCACAAGACTTCCGCTGCAACATGATTTTAAGCACTGCAGCTGATTGGAACTTATTTTCCTCTTCTGCTTAATCTGCCCAAAGAAAGATACAGAATAGGAGACAGAGGTGGGTAGATAAAAGCCACCTCTACATGAAGGTTCGCATTAAATCCTTCAATTCATCCAACACTAACTGCACTGACAATGAACCAGCTAAAAGCTACAGAACAGTGGAAAAGTGATCAACTTGTCAAAGTCCTCTCCAACTAACCCAAAAAATGCTTTCTGAGATTATTTTTGTGGTTATGGAAAATGAAGCCAAACTGATACCATCATGCAACTCCAGCATCGACTGTCAAACCAATTCTATATAGCAGCCAATCAAGGAAGCTTTGACAAAATTAAGGCAGTCCCGGACGTCCCTGGGCACAACTGCACATAAGCATTGGGAATACCTACCTTACAAACAGTTTCAACATTCCCTGATATCTCAAGCTTCTTTCATCAAATTTCTCCAATGCAATAAGAGTAAGCAAATTTTTTGAACTCTCTTCTATTTTTCCTTTCCATTTAGGTAAAAGTTTCAAGTCAAACCCAAGAAATTGTTAGTGGTCTTTCCACCCAATCTGTTTTGAGAGGAGGTTGAGTCCTTATTTTCTGTTTCCATAAGTACAATCTTTTCCCACTACACTTCTCCATACTTCCTCCGCCGAACTCCATCTCATAGTTAAATCATCTAAATCTCTTGAGGTTCTCATGTTTTGCCAAAATCAATAAACTCACCTTTGATGACATCTGCACATTTCATTAGTATATCTACCATCGTCCTAACTACGCTTCTTCATGTTTTCACAAAATCTATAAATTCAATTCTTTATCATCTATAGCAATTTGGTATTTCATATGAAGGCTTATCAAATGCAAATTCCACTTTGTGACTACATATTTGCATTCTCATCCATAGTTACTGGGATCACCCAACCTGGGTGTCATGCTCGCTCCAAGATCGCTCCAGTACTCCCGACTATGATTTCCATGGGATCACAATCCCTATCTTTTGGAAATCGCTCCTAGCCACTCGAACGGGTGACAAGAGACCAAGAAGATGATTCACTTGGATCTTAGCTGCTATCATACTTTCTCTCTCTAATGCTTTTGGATGTTGCAAAGTGTAAAATTGCAAATAAAGTAGTTTATTATGCTTTTAAATCAAAGTGTGAAATTGTAAACAAAGCGGATTTTTATCAATAAATATCAACTTCCTTTGTATTGTTGTCGGTTCTCCCGATGTGCCTCATCATAATATTTACTTTATTGCATTTGTAGGATTATTGCTTAATATAACCTACACATTCAAAAAAAGGTATGGTTTGTATAAAGTTGCAACCTTAAACAATTAAATCAAGGCGCATCCACAAATTTTATCATAAAATATAATTTTGGTGTAAAACGTTTTAGTATGGCTTCAGAATTTATTTTCATCTCTAATTATAAAATCTTAAACTCCAAAAATAGTTCAAATCAAGTAGGTCTATAAACACTTGAAAATCTTGAACATGAACAATCCAAATAATATGTTGCAAGAGACTATTTTTAGGACTTAAAATACTTTATTCTTTTCATATTCATTCATCTTGATGTCAAGATGATCAATTAGACGGTTTTCCAACATCAAAACAACTTTTTATAATGGATTTTTGAGGTGCACCTTAATTCTACATTTTAAGGTTGCAACCTTATATAATTTTTTCCTTAGAAGAATATAAAAATACATTTATTAATTAAACAAAGTTTAGTTAATAAATCATTTACTTTTTTTGCCCTTTCTTTTGTTTGCCCATTTTGTATTGTGTTTTATGGGATTATTGGATTTCATAATTGTTTAATGAAACTTATATTTTCATTTTTTGCTTATTAATTAAAAATATTACAGAATGCACTGCCGACCTAGGAAGCTTCCTGCATGTTGATCCATCACTCCCACTCCACCTCCTCTATGGCTCCAAGCAACGACATTCTTATCTTAACCGATCATTACACATGCATTGTAAGTACAAATTATCAAATGCAACCAATCAATGAAGCAAATCTGAAGTACAATAAGCATAGTTACCATAATCTCTCACCTAAGATTGAAGCAGAATAAGCATAGTTACTATATCTCTCACCCAAGGTCACAATTCAGATTTGGAATCCCAATTACGAGATTCCGACAAGGAATCTTCATGGAAACCATTTCCATGAAGTAAAGAATCTCAATTCCTTATTTTTAGGATTCTTAATTCCAACACTTATAGAATATTGTTTCTAATATTTATTGATTCTCGATTCTGCAATAGTTGAATCTCAATTCTACATTTGTTGAATTTGGATTCCACATATAATGATACTCTCTCCATCAAATTAGAAACACAAATATAGGGCCATGAACTACAAAATAAACAATTTAGAACCTATGAGAAGCATCTAATCAGAAATTTGATTATAAAGATATCGGAATCTTGATTCCATATACAAAGGAATCCTGATTCCATATGGGTCGATTCCAAACAGGTTAGAAACTCAATTCCACAGAGGATGGAATCTCGATTCCATACATGTAGGGATCTCGATTCCATTTGGGTCGAATCTCGGTACCTATAAAGTTGGAATCTTGTTTTGCGCAATTCCCTTTGTATGGTTGTTGATTCCCAAAACAGGAATCTTCCCGACAACCGCAATTTTGCAATTCCAATTCCTAAAATGACTCAGAATCTCAGGCATTTCCAACAACTATGAGAATAAGGTTCTTGTGCAAGAAAAACAACAATGACCAAAAGATTTGATCTGTAAAAAAAAAAAGACTATAAAGAGCCCACTTACTTGTATAAAATGTCAACTGTATTGCGAACGTCCCAGCATAATATATAGGGATCCTTCAAAGAATTTGCATAACTAGTCATGTCATAAACAGAAATGTATGAGAGATACCATATTATTTGAATTACAAAATACAAACAGAGAGTAGGAATCGGGTTTGGGCTTGAGTGGTTGGCAGCTGATGTTTAGCAGTGCTGCACAATGTTTAAAAACTCGCTAGGCGGCTCCTAGGTGGTCAGGGGGGTCCAGGCCGCCCAGCGCCTAGGCGGGGGCCCAGAACCTGGGCGGCCCAATAAAAATATTTTTCTTTTGAGTTTTCTCTCTCTAAAATAGCTTCTAATGGGTTTTAGGTTTCAAATGAACCTAAAACCCACAATTTTGCCTCTTTAGTATTAAAAAAAGACCCAAAAATACCCTCAAGGAGCCACAGTTCCGCCCCTGGGTGGGGCACAAGCCCTGGGCGGCTGCCCAGACGCTGGGCGGTCCGCTTTTTGAAATAATGGTGCTGCATCTCAAGTCGATTCCTACTGCTGAACTACCCAAAAAACAAAAATACAAACAAAGTCTCAAGTTGAGCAAAACTAAATATCTCAAAGGAAACCGCAAAAGACATACAAGGTACAGCAACATGATGTTGGCAAAAAACATGGCAACCTTAAAATGATATAGTTTGCAATATAAAAATTGGAAAGAAGATAGCCATCTACATATAATACAGTTTGCAAGGAACATATTCCCAAGCACAGAAAGTAATTGCTAAGTATGCGAATGATTGATGTACATTTCAGTTGGATTTTATTTATATTTTGTCATAGTCATTCGACTGATCCACTGAAGCATTAACTTCTCATAGAATATCAGTTGATACTTGTATGAAGTTTAGCCAACTGATATTTGAGTAATGTCTTGAAGAAAGATTTATATAATGCCCCTTAAGCATGATTTAGAGGACAAACCAAAAAGGAAAGCAAGACATCCTGCCAGGGTGATACTTCTAATTTATGGATGCATTTGCTATTTGGAAAGTGGAAACCTCTCAAGTAAGAGAATAAGGCTCAGTTAGGGGTACACCATGATGTCCAGCCAAAAAAGTAAAGGCAAGATGTCTTGCTCAGGGGTACTTCTAGTTTATGGATGAATACACTGATTCGAAACATCTTGCACATAAGAAGATAAGGCTCTGGTTCTTTTTTTCTTCTTTGGCTGTTAAGATAAGGCTCCACTTAGGAACACACCATTTTGTTTTGTGTTATTTTTTTGGCTGTGAAGATAAGCCTCCAGTTGGGAATACACCATTGCACAAAAAAAGAAGTTCCAAAGAAAGTATAGGTCACATATTTCGAGGTCATTTCTCCACCTCCTAAAATCTATGTGGAATCCATGCATGAGCATATCCTCCAATTATACATTTTCATGGGCACATATTCAAAATGCTTACCACAAAAAGGAACTGGTATAACACATATAAAAGATTTGCCAATGGACAACCAACAAAGACATGCGAACATCATATCTAAGATGCAACAAAGTTTAAGATACAAAATGTAATTTAATAGTACAATTAAAAAGATTAAATTGAAGTAAGAAAGGTCATATGCTACCCTCTCTATAATACTTGGGCCATGAAGTCAAACAGCTAAGGATGAGAATTTAGATTAAGGACTTTAACAGGTAAAAAGAATTTAGATGAAAGATGAGATTATCTAGACAGATACACAGTAATGCTGATAAATGCTAAACAATCAAGACACAAAAACTGGAGTCTGCGACAAAATGGCAAAATGATATACTTTCATGACAATATGTTAAGGTAAAATAACATCAAGCTAAAATTATTTAAGTTAGTACCTAGACACCATAAAATATCTGTCATGGACTCATGGTATATAGGCATTCTGTAGCCAAAGTTCAACAGTGCTATCAGCTTAACTCATCCATTTGTACTCCTTTAATAGTTAGGTTGGCTTAAACTTCGTGCTGGACCCTTCATATCCTAACTAAGAACTCATGCCCTGTTTAAATGATTGCTTCATTATCTTTGAAACAAACAATGATAAAATGGATTTTCTGCTATCGATAGGCAACAATTTGGTAAATTCTTAGTTATATTAAACATGTACTTAGTTATATTATATCTCAGCCTGTTATGCCTTAATATTTTAACTAGTTGCTTGTAATATAATGTGAGAATTTTTTTTTCTCAAAAAAATAATATGTATGAATGAATGTATGCATTCAAGATTTATCAATGAAACCATTAGGATGCAACTTGAATCAACCATCAGGTCCAATTTACCTTTCGTCCACCAGTGTATAGATAATTCCCATCCTTTGAAAACTGGACCTGTAAAAGTAATACCCATGGTCATTCTTCAAATGCATCAAGTCATCAACTAATAGATTAAGCATCATCATAAAGCTTGACAGCACAGAATGGCACCAAATAGTCCCCATACCTGTGTGACTCCACCTACTTGGCCATGTAAAAGGTATAGAAGCTCCATATTATCTTCCACATAGATCGCAGTAGTTTGACTGTAGGATCCTGCTGCAAGCATCCCATTATATGCAGGACTGAAGGCAATACTGGAGACAATGCCTGAAAGCAATAAAAAGAACGCAAATGGTTAATATATAAACCTCAAATAGATTGACAAAGGGAAATATAAGACATCCTAATGACATAACATTTCTACAAACAAGGTGCATATCTTAAGCTTGAAGCTATGAGATATAATATGTCAATCAGATTTATGTAATGAAACCATCCACTAACACATTTCTTTAATACGGTAAAACCACAAACTTGTCAAGTTCCGCATACCACTCCACACCACAAATCGACAGAACAATACTACAATAATGTACAAAAGCAGGAATTGCGATTCACAGTACCAGTTCAATCCTATGCACCATTTGTTTTGCAGTAGCAAAACAAATGGTTAAACACTATGTTTTAAAAAAACAATGGGTTAAACACTTGGATGCAACAGAAAGAAAATAATTTTCCCGAGTAACACTAGGAACCACAGGCATTTCTAGCACATGCTTGGTACATTAAATGAGTTCAAGGTCAAACCAGTAACAGTATATGGAACCTGCGCACTCACATGAGCAGCCCTAAATCTCAATATTACATAGGTATTGTTAGTTGCTAGCAAGTGTTATGCGACATATGAGAAAGTATATGCTTTAAAAGTATATTGGGTGAAATCATAATGCTTAATGCATAAAAACTAAAGGAGAAATCTCACCAGGAACACCACTCTGTTCACTTAACCTGCTTACCTTGCCTTTTTCCTTGTCTTAGGCTGGACCTCTACCAGTTTCTTAGGTTTTGAGAGAAAGAAAGGGAGATTGTAACTATTATCTACAAGAAAGAAAAAATAGTTGTTGGGAAAGAGAAAAAGGTTAATATCCCATGTCCACTCCAGTCTCTTTCTATCTCTTTCTATATTTCTATATTTATTTGCTAGATCAATCTCATGCTTTTGTTTTTCCTTTTTTTTAAACTGATATGTAATGGGATAGGTGGAAAATCGACAAAACTTTATATGATTTGACCAAAATAATACCCTTCAATTATAATTTACAATTTATGATCAAATAAATATCTTTGGTATATGTGAATGACTTTGATATGAAAAGACAAGTAAATAGATGAGTTATTACTCTAAATTTTATTTGAGTGAATTTATTATAAGCACAAATAAATATATTTCTATTATGTCAATTTTACATATAAATATTTTCAAAAAGCCTGCCATTAAGCTTTATTTTTTAAAACTTATCTAGTTATTATATATTTATCTTATGGGCACCCCCATGGTCTTCCCAAACTAGGGAACTCCTACCATGCAACAATTGCTCGCTCCTAACCCGACTCCTGCCTCCAACTACTACGATATATTCCCAAAACATAGACATTAAATTTCATCAATATATTATATATTTTGCTTTTATGAATTCCAATAAGGAAGTAAAGATTAGATGTAGTTGTATATGATCCAAAAATGAGACACTAAAAGGCCGTTTATACAAAAAGACACAAAACTTCCTAGTCATGGATGGGCATGTTTATCAAAAATATTTGCCCACTGTGCCCTCCTTTGAAAGGGTATCTAACGCTGCATTAGCCTCGCCAAGAGAGCATGAAAGATTGTTGCAAAGCATTGCAAAACAAGAATATTTGGTCAAATATAGGTTCCAATCTCCAGGGGCATAGGCATGCTCTTTATGCCAAAGTAATAACATTCTTGGAGTTGACGAGAAGAAGATGGCCCAACTGGTATTTAATAGTTTTAGGCCCTACCAATAAGGCTGTGCCTCAACCAAAGTGGAGTTAGTTGTAGCAATATGACGTGAATATGCAGAAAAGATGACCCGAGCTATTTCTAAATAAGCCCCCACCCATTGGTCCTGGATTTCTGAGTAAACAGCCATCAAAATTAATCTTGATAACAACGGGCTCAAGTGGTAATTAGTAGTTTGATCTTGGAAGAATCAACGGTCTGGAGTCTAGAATAACTATCCAATTTCCAATTTTGCACGAAACCCACTACTAGAAAGGCTCTAAACTCTTTTCCATTCTGGGGGCAAAAGATCACAGTTGGTATTCGATCCCTTGACCCCATCGATTTAAGATACTCGGCTCTCGAATATCCGTCTATTGCACTCCGATTACATGGCCCAAATCATAGATAGGATGGAGGCCCACCAAAGTAAAGGCCATGAGGACTGATACGGGGGGGGGGGGAGGTAAAGTACACTGCGGAAAACTGTTGAACCTTTTGGGGTATAATCTACACCCAACCAAAAACGTGGCAAAGGGAGGACATATATGGCTCACCATCTAACCGTGGATAAAAATATGATCAATAATTTCTTTGTACTCTTAACACATGATGTGATGATTGGGTAGATGAACTCCTCTCCTCTAGGTATGATCGACCATGAGTGCTTTCTTGGATAGGACTAACCAACTGAAAACTTGGATCTTAGGAGGGGCTTCTACGAACTAGTCCTTATTGGCTACAACAGGGTCTTGTTGATTGGTTTAAGGGCAAGGAAAAGAGAGCAGGCTGAAAAACAGCAAGAGGAGGCAGGGGCCAGCAGCACTTACTGCTACCAATTTGAGGGATACATTGCGTTTTTATAAGGTCCACAGAGCCACAGTTCTGGTATTTCAGGGTTGAAATATTCATCCCAAACCTAGGGGACCAGACCATCTGACCTCCTGTAACTTTACAAGATTGAGCCATAGTGACATCTTGGTCCATGACAATAGAGTTTAAGCGTGGAAGAGCAATTCCAAAGTAAACTCCCTCACCTAAAGATACTTACACAGACTGAACTGCTCCCCAGTTTTAGCCTTGAAATGAATCTTACTAGCAAAAATAGAGTAAGATGAAACCATCCCGTCCATGCTCTAGAGGCACGAGCATTGGCTGATCCCTTTGGTAGCCAACTGGAGTTGCCAATAACCTACATATGCTCGACTAATTGCTGCCACGGATGGCCTTCTTGATTCACAAAGCACCAACATTGCTCACCAAGTAGTGTTGTGTTACATTATCTGAGGTTCCTAATGCATAGGACCCCAGACCTTTTCAGTATACATAAAACATCCCAATTTACCAAGTAGAACTCACCGCCACCTCCAGCACCAGAGCACAAGAAATCTCTTGCTCTAGTCGATTGACAATGGAAATCTTGTAAAACAACATCTGAAACACTGCAATACTGGATAGAGTTGCTTTTAATAGAGTGATACCGCCAAGTGATGATGATATACATTTCCATGCCACTAGTCTACATTTGAATCCTCTACCATCATATTCCACCTTATGTGGCTTTCCCATGCAAAGAGGGATGCCCAGGTACTTGTTAGGTAAAGAGTCGGTAACACAATCCAACCTATTGTCCACCTCCAATTCACAACTTAAACAAATCCCTATGAGTTTGCCAGATTTATCTTCAGACCCTAGATACTTCGGAGCAAATAAGGAACAGCCATAAGTTGTTGGAGAAGATAGATGGCCCCCACGCAGAGGATTTGAATCCTTGGAGCAGACTGTGACCAAGCAGGTTTGAAAGAGATTTGCCAAAACCCACTAAAATGATCGAAAACAAAAAAGGAGACAAGGCGAGGAGGAAAATAACATTGGGACACCAGAGAAGGAAAGCATTAGGGAGGGTGTGCAACCCCTGATCCAAGAACTCCATCTACTTCCAAACTCCAATAAGTCTAACACCTGATCGTGAATGGCCCACTCAACATGATATACGCCTTTTCCAATTGAGCATAAGGACCAACCAGGGATTCTTTACTGGCATCAGGCACATAGTTGTTAGAAACGGCTGAAAATCTGAATTGATTTAGGAATCGGAAGTGCGGGTGACTAGAAAATTCCTATTGTAGGAATCGTTGTCCGCACAATGCCTATTGCGAGAATCGAAATGACTACTTTCTGGGAATCGCGCTCCAACCCAAATTGAATAGAGATCCCTACCTTTTGGAACCACAAACAATCCAAACGGAATCGAGATTCATAAGTTTTGGAATCGAGGTTCAAAGTTGGAATTGAGGTTCCTACCTTTATGGAATCACACACCCAACCACTTGGAGCAGCAAAACAAGTTTCATAAGGCAAAAGGTTTGAGGTTCTAGATATTTAGCCAGGTCTCCCCTAGTATTGGAATCAAGTTCTCAACGGTCCTAACGACCAGAACAATTGTCTCATGGTATTGAACTCATGGTATTAAAATTGACATATTAAATGGCCTCAATGAGGTTTTAGATTAAATAAAGAACATAAAATACTTTATTTGTTAATAATGTAATTTTTAAAAAACAAGTTATTTGTTTTGGACTCTCATAATTTGGGAATGATGTTAAGCACAGTTTGCAGACACCCCTAGAGTTCCTAAACAATGATCATATAATAAGTAATAATAAATTTGAAATAGCAGAATGTTTCACTAGTCCACTAGGGAAGTCATGTTTGTATTTACAAACCATAGAAATATTATCTTCTTTATACTTGAAAATGAGATTCTGTTTTTAGATATATATACTGGAAAATGAAACTTTGTGTCTTTGTGATGCTTTATGTTGTAATCCATGCGAATCGAATCAAACCCAATACTCTTTCTCAATTATCTTTAAAAAGAGTCGGTGAGTTCTTTACTAGTAGAAAAGAAAATTGCGTAAGAATCCCTCAATTTATTTTACAACATGGTTAACAGATTCAAAAAAATATATACCGACATGATGTCTACTTTGTACATGATTACAAAAAAAATCGGAGACTCTACAAAGGTGGAAGCGAGATTCCATATTAATGGAATCATGGTTTTGTGCACAAATGAACGCGACATTTGATGCTATGGAGTCTGGAATCTAACTTGACGGGAACGAGTGCCATGAAATTCCGGTGCCTATGATCAGGTATGAATGCATTATTGCATTCATGCGCAATTTGTCGATCCTATACAAAGGCAACTTAGGTGGGGGAGATGACGTGGTTTAGCACCTGCAGTAGGTGGGAAGCCAGCACTAGATAGGATATGATAAGAAGTCAAGAACTATTGAGAAGGTTTATTTGTCTTAAATCTTTCAGTTCTTTTTCTCCCCCTACCTTAGGTACTAGGGCAATGAATGTGAATTCACCCCCCAATGAATTATCCCTCTATGATAAAACTCCGAGAAGAAGGCAAGGACATCTATGCAAAGGTGTTCCAAGAACTTATGGAATAGTTCTACCAAAAGAAACTCATAATACATATTCATTAGTTATAGAAAGGAAAACTACATATGTCATCATCGTCAAATCCTTTTTCCAACTTATTGGGGTTGGCTACATGAAGCATAATCCGCCATTCTGCTATATTAAGGATCATGCCCTCAGTGAAGCCATAAGTCCCCATATCTTTTCTCACGACTTCCAACCATGTCCTTTAGGACCTACCCCTTGTCCCTTTTTGAGCTTTCTACTTGAACCAACTCACACCTCCTGACAGGTGTTGTACTGGATCTGCGCCACACATGGCCAGCCCACCTAAGGTGGCTCTCTCTCATCTTAACGACTATTGGTGCCACACCTAAACTTTCTCGCATGTCAAAATTATTATTCATTGTGTATAAAAAGGAATCAAGGTAATTTAGATGTCACCTTGACAGCTCCTCAACTTCTACTCGTCTTTGACATGTATTCTTATTTTCATGAATGAATTCTGCTATTTATTACAACAATGGTCATCATTAAGTATAACTTTTTATAGAGTATATTAGTATCTAGGGTGCCGCTTCTTGGCTGGTAGTTAAGCGATATGGACTGCAACATTACAGTCAAAGGTTTCAAAAGCCTGACCACTATAATAAGGATTTATTATTTATTACTCAAATTTTTTTGTAGGTATTTATTATTCCGGTTTCAGAAACTTTTGCTCAATAATTTCTTCTAAAAAAAATTTTACTCAATTTTTTCAGCAACTTGGCACTAAAAAAGATCATAGAATGGCCCTAGATTCTGAAGATGTGAAAATCCTCCAAAAAGACAATAGTATATATCAACTGCTAAAATATGCATAACCAAAGTAATGTAAATTCCTTCCTATCAACAGCCTGGGGAGAAGACAGTACTAGGATCCTTTCAGTCCAGCCAAACCAGTACAAGTTCAAGACAATAGTAGCAGAGAAAAATCAGCAGAGGGCCCAAGCAAGTATTCCAGGAAATATTGGCTAGTTTATTAAATAGTAACTGCAACATAACCAATAGCATCCCCACACCCAGTAACCACATCATGGTATCCATTCCTACTGCTGACACCCCCAATTAACACCTTCAAAATGTAACTCCCCAATCTATTGAAAAAACAGGTAGGGGCCCATCTTCCCTAATGAATTACCCAAAAAAAAAAAAACTAAACCAATGAATGTGTTATTGAAGATGGACTTAATTGAAGTGTAACTAGTGACAGATAGGTACCTGTCTGTCCATCTTTATTGCTCGTGAAAGTTGAATAGTGCTCAAAATCTCGGCCAGGCCGATGTACGTCAAACACTCTTAGAGCCTTGTTGTAACCTGCAAAAATCCTGCAATGTAAATTGTTATATTACAAGAATATGAAAATGTTCAGACAGGTTATTATAATGCCAAATCATCCATGCAAATAATAAAGACCAATTTATTAGGATTGTAAAAGCACATGCAACAACTCAATCAATTGAAAAGCCAAATAGAATAGTACTCATGCTCTGGTTGAGGTGATTAACTGATATTATTAGAAGGGATTAAAAAGATTGGAGAACTGTACATTTACTGGAATGAACAAAATAATGAATAACTTGAAATTACGCAAAACCATCAGTCATAGTGAGAAAAGAAATGGAAAATTATCAATAGAAGTATGATTTGGTTCAAGTGGAAGGCTCTAAAAGGGCAAGGTGAAGGCCCAAAAGGACATGAATGGAAGTAACAAGAAAAGATATGGGGACTTATGATCTTGCTAGGGTATGGCCCTTGATAAAGCAAAATGGCAAAACAAGATTCGTGTAGCCAACCCGCAATAGTGGGGATAAGGCTCTAATGACGATGATGATGATCGGCAGTAGTCGTGGACTAATAGATAAGATTTTTTTGTTATTTGTCCCAGTTGTGAATTGAAGTCCAAGAACTGGTATTACCACCCAATATCAATTTCATGGGTTAGGATAGTGAAGATTGTGCCCAATGCAACATGAAAAGCTTACTTCATTTCTAAGTTAAGCTTTCAGCCTAGCATGATAACAACTAGGACTATTTCCGAAACAAGTAGTTCAAGAACATTTTCTAATAAGTAGTTCTGATTTAAACAAGTAAACCATTGTGTTTTAAGGCCCTACATGTGGGATGCTAAAAAAAAAGACAGAGTGGAAGCTGTCAAAGAACCAACCCCAAGTATGAGGTTCATGTAACTAAGTGAAAAAAACCTGATATTGGAATTTCTATGTGTAACTAGGTGTGCACTTCCTTCAGCCAATTATCTCCATTAACTCAATAGCTATAGTGTTGACTCTGCAAGGACGGTTTTTTTTTCCTTCAATGTTTTTCTTCTTCTTCTTCCTTTTTTTTTTTTCTGGATTGGTTGACCCATAACCTGATTGAAAAACAGTAGAACAATAACTGGGGGAAGTACCATCCTGCCCCAAAAGGTTAATAACTAAAACGAAAATAAATATGCGTCGCTAAGTTGGTTATCAATTAAGGCAATAGCAAGGCTTATTGAGCAACATATTTCGAGGAAAAGATATAAAAATCAATGTCCATATATGCTTGTCACTAAATTTCATCAATGCTAACTAATTCTCTTTCCTCAATAAAAATCTTAAGGATCTGTTTCAAACTATAGATGTCAGTGCATGGCTTTAAACAGCAGAGAACCATAGGCAATGGAGAAGGGCTTCTACACAAGTAATGCTAAATACTTTGTTCCTGCTGGATTAAAGGCAATTGCAAAAGCTGCCGCAATTTCGTCCATAGAGTCATAGGCCCTGTACGTGCATCGAAGCTGTCGATCAAAAATCACAAAAGTTCAGAAAAAAATGGATTTCTATTGAAAATATTCAAAATCACAACCAAAACAGACCATAACTTGCACAAAAATCCAAAAAGAATTTATCAGTAGCTAAAATTCAACAAACTTTCATCAATATCTGATATTTAGTACCTGACCAGAAACGGCATCCCAGAGATGAATTGGATGGTCTCTTGTGGTAGTTGCAAAAACACAAGTTGTTGGGTCTGAAAATTGCAACAAGTTAATATCCAGAGGACCAATGAATCAGAATGGATAGTTCAAAATGTAACAATTCCTGATCAAACAAGGGAAAAAGGGTTGAACCCAGTTGAGACAAATTACCAACTATCACATTAAAAAAATTTAACTTTGGAGGTTGGAGTCACTAGTAGGCTCAGCTAGTTGCAACAAGTTAGCAATTACCTGAAGAACTCATGTAGGGGTACCAACAATAGTCATACACCGATTCTCCCTCATGCACTATGACTTTTGCATCATATGAATCAGAAGGTGCAGAGACCAAAGTGCTGCCAGTTGTATTGTATTGATCAGAAATACTGCCATCAGGATTAGTTGGCCTGATCAAAACATCAGATGTTGATTCATCCACTGCAGTAAGCATTTCTAAACTCTCACGAAATAAGTTTTTTTCTTCTTAATGGTGGATAAAGCTTTATGAACTGGAAATAGAACTCAACCAAATGAATACTTTATAAACCAGAAAGTCATTTTATTCGGATCGTTCGTTTCATTGATCAGGAATTTCAAGTATATATTTATCATCAGATTATTATAGTTATCAAAATTGAAAGTACAATCATTTCCATTAATGATACATTAAATAACGACAAATGATGAAAAAATCTATTGCCATTACCACAATGAATATAAGCCAAGGCTTCAACGGGAGAAATCTTGCCAAGTTCAGGATATAATCTACGACATCACTAGTTCTATTCAAACAGAGCAGGATACCATTCATTACCTAAAATTTCTACATCACTCTATTTGCTGATGCATCAGTTCTCATTTGATTGTCCTCATATCTATTATTCATCGAAATAATTGTCCTCATATTTATCTTTCACAGTATATGATGTATTGGTATTATAGAAAGGATGAAAAATGCTGGTAGACAAATGCTGGTAGATTATGGATGCAACCATACTTACAAATCGAACAAGCGAAGCTTATTATCGTCCGAATTTGTAAGGAAAAACGACCCATCTGGAGACCTGGACCAACAATGGGAAAGCAATTTCCAGTTTCAAACTTTACACGCTTATGAGTTCCAAAAACTAAGAAACAAATGCAATAAAAATAACACAAAAAATGACTAGTCATAAAATGTAGTCACCATTTGACCCCTTTCAGAAAACTGTTAGAATGAGAAGCACGTTTGAACTGGTGATGGAAATGGTATAATCTCTGAGGAGGCTCATCAAATCTCAATGCAGGCCAAAACAGAGCAGCATATTCCCCCTCTTTAGAAGCACTTTGAATGGTGGTCGGTTCTATGTTTTCGTCTTCCAACATTGTTGACGGTAGAAAGCCCCAGCACCAGCAGTCGGAACTATATACACAAAATTTGATATAGGAATCCCTAAATATAGGGATTGCGACGATTTATGTTTGGGTGCAGTTTGTATATAACCAAGGTTCTAAACAATCGAAGTAAGCACACCTTCAAATAGTGTCGACTGTCGAGATATGTGTTTTCAATATTGAAAATTTATGTCTTGGCCTTAAAATAAATTTTTATCTTTAATTATAAAATTGAAATCTTCAAAAATAATGTAGATCAAGCATATCTATAAAAATTTAAAAATCTTGAAAACTAACGGTCCAAAAAATGTATTGCAAGATATTCCATTTTCAAAACTTGAAATTCATTTTGTTTTCATGTTCATTCATCTTGATGTCGAGATGATTAATTTGAGGATATATAGGTGTCATAATAAGCTCTCTTCTAATGAAATTTTTTAGGTAAGTTTTAATTTAATTGTTTAGAGCCTCGGCTTTATATAAACTTTTTCTTCTACGTTTTGTACATGAAGGTCCAAAGTTTTAGGCTCACGGGCTTTAAATACCCTCTATTTCTTTGATGTCAGCTCAAACTTTTGCTTATAAATCTACTTTCCGTATTGAAAGCTTTATGATGACTTGAAAATCTATTTTCTTTGGTATTAATATAATTTAAAATTAAAATATATATATAAATCAAGCATATCAATAAATATTTAGATTTAAAAATTGATGGTTCAGATAATTTGTTATAATATGCGTCATTTTTTTTACTTCAAATTCTTTTTTTTTTCATGTCTATACATATCGAGGTCAAAATAATCAATTGGGGATTCTTAAAAACCAAAACACTATCTTCTATAGGATTTTTGAGGTGCACTTTACTTCAATAGTGTAAGGTTGGTTGCAACCATATGTAAACATTTTCCTCTTTCTAGCAAGTAGGTAAAGCCGCTCCACGAAATGTAGTCAAAAAGAAAAAAAAATATTTGATTAAAAAGAAATAAAAAGAATATGATTATAAAATAAAATAAAAGAGGAAACTATCATAAATATACCTTAATTTTCGTCTAATTGAAAAAATAATCAACTTCCATAAACCTCGTCAACACCTTTTTTTTCTCATTTTTGACATTTTTTAACCAAAATAGCATTCACAGTTGTCATATTAGAATAGTTACTATCGCATTTTATATAGTATTTAAAATTCCATAATAACTTGAAGTAATATTACAGTACTCGAAAGACCGAAATGACTAGCGCATTTTTAAATGCCTATCATTACAGTAGTTTAAGTACCATAAAAACTATCGCATCTTATACAATATCGAAATATCTGTTAACGTATGGATATAGAAATGTATCATACTGATACATATCAATATGGATATGCATATGTATGGATACATATCTCTTGATAAGATTAAGTGTTGTCTATCCATAACTATTGATATTTATTTTTAACTGTTATTGGCCATATATTTACACGAAGTCTTGTATATTCTGAAAATTCTAACATGGTATCAGATCTAAGTTTCAATCCTGGGACCTGTGGGTTATGGCCCACCACCCTGTAACTTTTGAAACCCTCATTCTTACATTTGGCCATCCTCTCTCTCCCTACTTTATACTTTGTTGCCCACTTTTGTTGGGCAAAAAGTGCACCTCTAAGTTTTTTATTATTCCAAAATGCATGCCTTCATTTGATAGATGGAAACCTCTTTATTTGGGTAAAATCTTTTTTTTGTTGGGCATCCTTTCTTTCATTCTACACTTGCAAAAAGTGCATTTTAAGCAAGTGCACCGCTAGGTTCTTTACTATTTTATAAAAAGTAAACCATTGTTGTTGTGCTTTCTCTTAGCTGTCTCTCTGTCGAGTCGTGTTTCAACTATTTGATGTTTTGGATCTTACTGTTCTCAACCCCTAATCTAAAGTCTAACTATTTTTGTTGATCCGCTGCTGACTTCTGTTGACTCTTCCAAGTGCCTCATGTTTGATGATCGAATTTCTTGACCCTGGTTGATAATCAAGTTGATGTTACTTAATCATGTTTAATGCTTTAGTTTTTCGTTACTCAATCTTATTGGATGATGGAGTTTTTCGTTACTCCATCATGTGTGATGATCAAGTTTTTTTTGTTACTCGATCTTGTTTGATGATTGTGTTTTCTGTTACTCGATCTTGTTTGACGATCGTATTTTCTATTATTCGATCATGTCTGTTGATCAAGTTTTTCGTTACTCAATCTCGGATGTTCTAAAGGCCTGTTTATCTGTTGTTGATCGAATTTTTCGTTACTCGATCATGTTTGTTCCTGAGGTCTGCCGCTTTTCTGTACTTGTTATTCAAGCAATCTGAGCATGGAGACCACTGCTTCTATCGGTCACACCAGGAACCTGAAGATTGAACTCATTTGTTTATGCAGCTTATTGTTCAAACTCCATATGCTTTGTGTTAAAGCATCTTGAGTTTAAGAGAGGGTGTTAATGTATGGATATGAATATGTATCATACTGATACATATCAGTATGGATATGCATCTATATGGATACATAGCTCTTGACAATATTGTAATAATGTCGTATCTTATAAAGCCCCATGAAGCCCTTTTTTTCATTACGGTTTACTGTTTTAGGGTGGCTCTGTTCTTCTCCTCTGACTCAAAATTTCTTGAGGCTCAATCTTTCACTGGTCTCATTTCCCTCATCTCATCAGATTCTCCATTGAGATAAGAAATCTTCTTCCCTTTTTTTTTTTTTTTTGTTCAGCATTGCCAATTTTAGGTTTTTTATCTAATTTAGGGTAAATTGGGCGAGTTTTCCATTGTTTTTTAGCATGTTTTTTAATAGGACTTTGGTGTTGGTATTGTTGAAATGAGTACCCTGTACTATTTTGGGTTGATATGGCTTTGATTACCAGCTTAATTTGATTCTTATTATTGTGATGGTGGTTATCAACTTGGTTTTAAGTTGGATGTTTTGAACCTGGTTTATGTCACAAATTAGCTATTATTTATGTTTAGAAAAAACAAAGACAAAAAGAGAAAACATAAACTCAGAATTAGCAATCAAAAACCTCAAAAACTTGGCTTATTTTATTTAGAAAAAACAAAGAATAAAGATAAGTTTTCATTATTTTATTAGTTAATATCACAAGCCAAAACCTCAAAAACCTAGTTCATTTATGCAATATTTTAAACAAAAAAATTACAATGGCCAAGCCAACTACATCAAGTACTATAGAAAAAACAACATAATATTTGTTAAAAAAATGTTATCGCATATCCAAGGAAATATAATTAAAAGCTTGACTATTTTGATGACATACCTATAAAATAGAGTTGGTGTGTATATTTGATGCTCACGGATTGGGAAATAGCTCTCAAAGACCTCGTTCAGAGATTGAAAAATAAAATGAGATGATAGAAAATAGAGGATAAATTAGAGAGAAAAAGAGAGAGGAGGATAAGGAAGAGAGAGAGAAGGCTAAAGAAGAGAGAGAGGTAGAGAGAGGAGGCTAAGAAGAGAGATGTGGGGTTAGATAGAGTGGGATGGGAAACCAGGGTTTTTAGGATGAATAAAATTGCAAAAAGCGCAAGAGAAATTAAATTTAGAAATATTCATGGTTGTCTTTGTATCGTATAAATCATCCAATAAGGTTACGACACTTTAAGTATCATAAGACATGCAAATATCTTCACGACACTTAAAGTACCGTGATGCCTAAGACTTCAAGTTAGGTAGTATTACAGTAATTCGAGTACCGTAATAAGTCTTGGGGTTATCACGGCATTTTAAATGCCATATAAAATGTGGTATTCATTACAGTACTTAAAATATCGTAATTCAATATTCACAGTAATACAATTACCGTGAAGGCTATTTCGGTAAAAAAAAATCAAAATTGAAGAAAAATGGTATAGACGAGGTTTATAAAAGTTGAAGGTCTTTTTCCAATTATGTGAAAAACAAGGTATATTTCATATAATTTTTCAAAAAAAAATTAAAATAAAAAAAAACTAAATTTTGTGGTTAAAAAATAAATTAAAAGGATGTGGCTGAAAAAGAAAAGAACAAAAAAAAGATGTGATTAAAAAAGAAAGAAATAAAAGGGAAAAAATGATGTCCATACATCTTGAGGTCAAATTGATCAGTTGGAGGGTTTTTCAAACTTGAAACACTTTATTATGTGTGTGGTCAAAAAAACCAAAAAAAAAAAAAAAATCTAAAAGATGTGGTTAAAAAAGTTTAAAAGGATGTTGTCAAATAAAAAATATGTATCTTGAGGTTAAATTGATCAATTTGAGGGTTCTACAAAGCTAAAACACTTTATGATATGTGGTAAAAAAGGAAAAAAGAAAATAAAAAAACAACACTAAAATATGTGGTTAAAAAACTTTAAAGGATGCTGTCAAATAAGGAAAGAAGAATAAAATGATAGTGTTTAAAAATGGTGAAAAGTTCATATAGAGCCGAAGCTCTAAACAATCAAATTTGAGCCTACGTCAAAAATTTCATTAGAAGGGGTTGTTTTGATGCTCAAATATCTTCAAATTGATCATCTCGACATCAAGATGCATGGACATGAGAAGAAAATGGATTGTAAGTTTTGAAAATAGTGTATTTTGTAACGCATTTTTTGACCGTCAATTTTCAAGATTTTCAAGATATCATAGATATGATGATCTACACTATTTTTGAAGCTTTAAACTTTATAAATAAATATGAAAATACATTTTAAAGCTATCACAAAGATTTCCAATATTGAAATCACATTTCTCGACACTATTTGAAGGTAGGCTCTTATTTGCTTGTTTAGAGCCTATGCTCTATACAAACCGCACCTTTAAAAAAATAAGAAACAAAAAGACAAAAAAAAAAACCGCACCCTTAAAAAAGAAAGTCAGAAACAAAAACATAAAAAAAAAAAAACGCACCCTTAAAAAAGTAAGAAACAAAAAAAAGAGGGTGTAGTTGGCATACGGATGCGTCTGTAAACTGTAGAAAGAATGTGCACCTTCAAATTTTATCATAGTATATAATTTTAATGTAAATGTTCTTACGATTATCTCAAAATCTCTTTTTATAT